ACGTGTTAGTACTGTGCAAATATCACTGGAAACGTTGCTCGTTTACACTAACATTAAACAACAGAACATGTTGAAATATTCTTACGCTTAATTTCCTGATCATGTGGTGTGTGAACTTGGCCAGAAGAGTTTGTGTTAAAATACGAGGAATATCGTCACCAGTATTGCGTGTGAATATTATTAACTTTCTACTACTATTCAAGTTAGCCCTTTTACAGAGTTAAAACAATTCTTCAACATATTTTTATTACTATAAATTTCCAGAATATATATATATATATATATTTAACTATGGAACAGGAATTTAATCAAAGCATAAGTGAGAACTGATGTACAATTTCAAATAAGTATACTTGTTCCATTTACAAACTTAGGACAAATAAATGAAAATAAAAACATCATAAATCTTCTCCGTGATTAATTAATATTTCAGCGATTCATTCCATGACAAGGAAATGAAGATTAAATATTTCAACGATGTTTTTAATCAATAATTATTTAAGTACTTAAATATTACATTTATATTTTACAAATTACTTAGAATCAGAACACTTTAATTTTGTAGGATTGTATAATTTCTTGCAACTTATAAAATAAAATAACTAACAGTAGAATTAATTTCAACATCAATCAAGAAAAAATGAAACGTATGGTTTTGTACTTAGTTTATACATTTGCTTATTTAATCGAGAGATTAAAACATAAGAAACCTATTACACATGGACATGTCAAATACATATGCTTCACATATTAAAAATACGTTATAGTAAACTTGCTCTGGTAAACCCATGAATTCCTAAACTGATACATCTATATTTTAAATAAAGCTCGCTTTCAGATAAATTACACGATTTCAGTCTAAAATAGTGTGGCTGTAAATAAAGCGTAAGTTGTCAATATTAAGAAAACATAAAAATCATTATATTGAAAGATGTGGTTCACAATTAATTCCCATTTCTTAGACAATACACACTGGCTGGCTAGTTTATTAAGAAGTATTAATTAACCCTTTCAGACTTGAGTCTCACCAGAGCTGCAGATGCAGGTTGATCACATGGTGTGTCAGGTGATCCCTGCAGCACTATAAATGACTGGAATAAGCACGTTTACAGTCACATTCTAACAGATACGGTGAGGAAAGGCACGGATATTGCAGCATTCAAAACTGGCATGATAGTGGGTGCACGTTTAACAGTTGCCAAAACAGTTTCATTGGTAAGGTGCTAAAAGACATTCAGTTTATCAATAATGGAAAAAAGTGAATGAAATGTCTACTGTGAGTTGGAATTGTGGTTGAAAACATATAGTAACAGTAAGGCAGCTCGATTGGATGGTAAAGTTTAACCGTCATCAAACAATACACTAATTGACATTCAGTGCAAGGCAATCCCCACCCATGTCTAGCCATAACTTGCAAATAACGTTGCAACAAGTGGGCTATGGCAGTAGAAGATCATTGCCTAAACTACTAGGCTCAGTTGCAAATAAAAAAAATGCCCAAAGTGGTGTAAAAAAACACTGAAATTAGACTAATAAGGACTGCCGAGAGGAGATATGGTCCAATGAATCATAGTTTACCTTTTTTGCACAGATGGGAGAGGACAGATTTGGAAAATGTCCAAATAATAACTCATCCCTCTTGTGTGGTCCCATTTGTCCAGGTCTCTGATGGTAGAATCATGGCTTCGGGCATGTCTTCCCAGCATACTCTGGGCCCTTTGGTCCTTCTAGAAGGAAAAATGAATGCCACAAACTAACCCAGCATAATTTCTGATCAACTGCATCCAGCAATACTTCATATGTACCCTGATGGGGACAGCTGTTTCCAAAATGACATTCTTAAATTATGCATAGATTTCAGTCACCACCCATGTGGGATGAGCTTGGAAGACACATTTGTCATAACAATCATCTACTGCTTTGAGCCATGAACTGCACAGAATATTAACCCTATGTGCAGGAGTGGGTGTCAAACTACACATGCCATGGTATTTTACAGAGTATATTTCAACTTGGTATTATGTATACAGTATTCATTTTAACCTGCATTGCTGATTTAGCGACAATTTGTGGTAAAAGAGAGTAAAAACCAGATACAATACACAAGGATACGGAAAAACTGTAGATATGAATTTCAGAGGTTCTACAGGTTATGCAAATAGAATATTTAAACTGTAAGATTGACAAAAGTTAACATTTTCACCTGAAAATGTATTTGCAGTAGAGATTCACACAGTTTAGCTGTCTTCCTCAACTCTTCCGTACGTTCTGTCAAAGAGACTTGCATGCCACTAGCTTTATGAAAACTCTCACCTAATTTCACGTAAATTTTCGCGACTGCATAATGATGTCATCATGCAGCAAAAGCCCTCCACCAGTACGAAGGTAACAAACCTCCATGCACACTAACTCCCCCTATGCAGTCGCGCTTGTGAATCTCCATTCTTCGAATGGGCAAATAAGAAAATGTGCACTAGAAGTGGAGAGGATGTGTGCACGGGTATCTATCAGAAATACATTTTTAGGAAAGGAAAAATGTTAACTTTCAACAGGAATACTCACCTCCATATATAGTTTAGCTAGAATCCCATGTTGAGATAGTAGAAGGACTGATGCAAAAATTCCAAGATAAATCCCCTTCAGAAAGTGCCCAAAGGAAGCCCATTGGGTGTAACACCCAATGACAGGGGCTCCACAGGAGCACATCCGTGGAAGACCACATCTCTTCTTATCAAGCGTATACCCTTTGCCTGCATAGGAAAGAAAGGCAAATAAACCAAATTTGTATCACTTGGGTGGACAGAATCAGTTGTTGGATGTCCAAGTACTTGCACACAAGATGTCAGACAACTAACATATGTAGCGAGGTTGGGGATCATTCAGACCATAATTTGTGTGCTCACCTCCTCTACCATCAGTCTCCATTGGTCAAAACCAGCTGTGAAAGAAGGGCACTTGTGATATGTATCCGTACTCACCTCCTCTACCATCATTCTCTATGAGCACCACGCCAGCTGTGGGAAGAGGGTATTATTTGCCAACTGCAGGAGCATGGCATGTTTGTGATGTAGTAGGGACTGGTACTGGTGTTCACCTTGACTCTACTGAATATGCATTGGTTTCAGGAGGAGGACTTGTGAGATATTGACATTGAATAGATTGGTATCAGTCCATACATAGTTTGTAATGTATCATGGGTATAGATGTTGGGTGACCATCAATACACTCTCAATGTTACCACAGCCCCACTTCTCACAGTAATTGAACCTCTTGTTTTAACCCCAGTGGTAGGTCCCAAGCAGTAAAAGTTCTCCATGGTAAACTGCAGACATTTACTGGAGGATATCTTTCTCTGTATCATTTCTAGACAATCTTCTCCGAGAATTGAGTGAAGGAGTCACTGATTCTTGCAGTCATAAAAACAGTTCCTAGATGGAAAGAGAATGCTCTGAAGTTTGCTCAGATGAAAGTTGATAATCTGCCATCTGTATATTTTCTGTGAGAAGAGCTTTAACTCTGGGAAATAACCTTGGCAGATCTAACCAAACTACCAGGTAGTTAATCCAAATCTCTAAAGGAAATCAATCAGAAGGCATACCTTAATGTGACTACATGTTTTTTATTTCTCACAACTATACCTGTGACATTCTCAATGCTATATGTTCCAACTGCAGATGCTTAATAATTACATGAGAACAACCATTACTTAGTACAGAATGAATTGACTCGCTTTACTTCACAGTAGCTTTTAATTCATAGTTGGATGGTTGCGGGTTCAATGCTAGCCTTTGTCATTCAGCCATGTCCTTGAGTAAGAAACTTTACTTCACTTGTTCCAGTTTACACAGATGTATGATGGGTACCATGTTAGATAACGGTTAACCTGCAATGGAATGTGTCAACATTCTCATCTGCTTGTGCTGCTCGAAACCTGAGTTAGAAAGCACCAGCCTTATTTACATACCTTAGAAAAGCATGGAAAGGGCTTAACTTTCTTTTAAATTTCACTATGAAATAGGTATCACCATGGGTAAGATTGTTGACATATTTGCTAGGTTTCATTTCAAGTGCATGGCACTCACGGATATCATAAATGTGGAGTTACATCTGCCACGAGTGTATATTTGTACCTGAAGTATTATTTCAAGTAGAAATAATTTAAAAAAATGGTTTAATAGATTACTTATTAGTGTTTTTCTATTAATTATATATCTAGTTTTTAATTATCAGTAATAAGACAAGGCGCTTTGCAACTGATCCCTAAAATTAACAAACTTTTGACCACAAATGTTAGAAAGAAGTCAACTTCAGAGTCTGAATCGGCACCTGAAACCATACCTAAGAGTTTCTCAGCTTTGAATAATTTCTGTTGATAGTTATGCAAAAGAGAGGGTACTAAAAGTCACAACATACTGAACAGTAACCATTTTGAAAAACGTTAACATTGACTATATATATAAGAGAAAGATACAACCAGTCAGAACATACTGAGCAGTAACCATTTAGAGAAACGTTAACATTGATTATATACAAGAGAAAGGTACAACCAGTCAAAACATACTGAACAGGAATCATTTAGAGAAACATTAACACTGAATATATACAAGAGAAAGATACAACCAGTCAAAACATACTGAACAGGAATCATTTAGAGAAACACTAACTATTTACAAGAGAAAGGTACAACCAGTCAAAACATACTGAACAGGAATCATTTAGAGAAACACTAACTATTTACAAGAGAAAGGTACAACCAGTCAAAACATACTGAACAGGAATCATTTAGAGAAACACTAACTATTTACAAGAAAAAGATATGTTTGTTTTGTTTTCAATTTCGAGCAAAGTTACACGAGGGCTATCTGCACCAGCCGTCCATAATTTAGCAGTGAAAGACAAGAGGGAAGGCAGCTAGTCATTACCACCCACTGCCAGCTCTTCAGCTAATCTTTTACCAATGAATAGTGGGAATAATCGTCACAATATAATGCCCCCATGGTTGAAAGGCCAGCATGTTTGGTGGGATGGGGATCCGAACACATGTCCCTCAGATAGCGAGTCAAGCACCCTAACCAACTGGACATGCCAAGTATCAAGAGAAAGATACAACCAATCAAAGCATACTGAACAACACTCATGTAGAAAACATTATCACACTCCATTCACAAGAGAGTGCAACCAGTCACAAGTAACCAGCAGTAATTTACTAAAACATTAATCAGCACAAGACCACATTTAGTAAAACATTAATACAATACCACATTTACTAAACATTAACACAATACCATATTTACTAAAAAATTAACACAAGACCACATTTATTGAAAAATTAACACAACACTACATTTAGTAAACATTAACACAAGAACACATTTAGTGAAACATTAACACAAGATCACATTAAGTAAAATATTAAATTTAAAAGGTGTAGAGAGTATTGTTAGTCATAATTTTAACAAATGGGTTATAAATAAGTAAATAAATCTTTGGCTAAAACTCATAAGTATGTATATCTCACTAAAAATACACAAAAAATATTAAAGATCTAGAAAATGTTTATTTTTCTCATTCTGTGAAGTATTAGTAATATCCACAGTTTAAAAACAATCAATAAGATCTACAAAAATGTCCATTTTGTGACTAATGACAGTTGCTACCATTGCTTGAGTTGCTTTCATGGTATCATTTTAAACTTTATTAATTGGTATTTATGCAAAAACTATTTACGAGATCACATTCAAATTTTGTGGCATTCACTGATTTTGGATAAACGCAATCAATTTTTGACCCCCATGAACTAGTTAATCAGGGTTTTTTATTGAAAAATGTGTATGGATTTACAAAAATGTTGCTTGCATTGAAATTACTATAAAATATAAAAAAATACAAAAACCTTTGTAATCCTATACATCAGGGCTGGTTTATCAAAACCCTCTACAATCTTATATATGGTTGTTGCTTGCATTTTAATAATAAATATACAATTCCATTATCAGATATTATCTGATTCAGGTAAACACTAATTAATTAATAACTAATATCCTAAGAAAATGTTCATGATATTGAAAGTTTATTTACATAATTTGTTTTATTTGTTACAAAAAGAAATTACACATAATTTTAAACCTCTTCAGTGATCATCATAAACCTTTAAACATAGTGGTCAGAGAAATACCAATAATAAAATGTTTTTTATCTTGCTCGTAGAGTAAAGCTGTTGATAAAACAATCTCTTTGGTCTGGAAAAGAAATTTACAGAAATTGCTATGTTATGAGGACCATAAGAATCAAAGACTGTTCAACATTTAGATTATACATTAAGTTTTGATACACACACACACAGAGGGCTTAGCCATTTGAAATAACTGTACTACACTCTGAAACATTTTTTCAGAAACAAGCTTAATGTATAAAGTAATGCCATAAAATACTTCCAATAGAACAGATACTCACTGAAACACTATTTAAAGATTTAATATATTTCATTTTCTAGAAAGCATGTTCAGCTTTAGTTAAACAAGGATAAAATTCAATAGATGTTTAAAAATTAAAAAACTTAATATTCAGTTTTCCTATAAAAATATGATAGTTTATATTTTCTTTATCACCTAAATCTGTGAAATATTACTGAGGTTATAGAAAAGATGCTTGTAATGTAAGACTTTGACAGCCTCTTGATCACAACTTACAGCTGTGGGTTTCCTCCTGCTCCAATCATAATGAGAGTGGCTACAATACAGAAAGTACACATTAAATAACATTACATTTTAAAAAATGTGATAAGCACCCATGTAACCTTATTCCACTTAAAATTCTCATACAATTTGAACAAGACAGTAAAAAAACACCAAAGAAGTGGCTGGCAAACTTATCTATACATCAGCTGTGCTACAAAGAACTCATTCTGAAAATGAGTAAAAGAGGCTTGGTTATGTGTTTCAGTTCATTTCATAAAAGTACAATTATATATACTAGCAGAAACTCCACCTATAGGGCAGCTGTTTGTGCTAGTAATAATTACTAATCGCAGCATTCATACCTCATTGAAAAAATTGAGAAAAGTGAACATTTTTTAAAGAACTCTAATTTTTCAGTACTATACTCATGTATAGTCCTACTAAAAGTTGTGTTCTTGTTATGAGGAGAGTACTTTTATTTAAAATTGTTCTGTGATAAAGAAATGTTTGTTGCACATACCCTAGTTATTTTTCTAATTGTCTAAATCTTGAATACCAAAATGTGAATTTGTTTTGATTGATTTGTTTGTGCTGTCATTCAATAGATGGCGCCACATTGTATTAATTATTTCGGACCCATACATAGATACATGCAAGTAAGATTCATCAAACATTTAATTCAAAGTTGCTCTCTTAATGTCTACTGGGGCTTAGAAAAAAACGAAAACTTTGAATTGATATTATTATTCAGCAACAGCAAAGCACTTCTGAAAATAGCTAAACCACAACTAGTTATACAATGTTGAATTTAATTACAATTAATTTAAATAATTTAAACTCTCATAAGAAATTATGATTTTTTTTAAACTTATGTATAATTAGCATAGATAATTAAAAAATTTTAGAGTCTGAAAAAAATATATTTTTCATGACTACTTGAAAAGCAGCCTTCATGACAAGGTATACAGTTCCTTAGTTAATGACAGAATTGGATAACACAAAGAACCTGTCTGACTATATCAATCTTACCTCACAATTTAATTAAACTTAGAAAAACCAGTAGTCATGAGATACAGCCCCTTAAAGACAGAAAATTTTGTAATTTAGGCATTATGAATTTATAATTCCACACGCCACCTTCAGGCCAGTTAAAGGTATAACATTTTGTGACACACTCAAAAAGTTTATTTGATAGAAAAATAGAATGGCATGGAACACCTGTCCACATGTGCTTTTATGTTAAAACTATAGTTTACTTTCTTCATTAGAGAAACAACCATTATCAGATATTTCCTTTCCATTCATTGTAACCAACACTTCTACAGTAATAATGTAGTTAAAATTTCCTTTCTACTTATGTAACTTTCAACATGGTTAATCTCTTACATGGGTAATTCCTGGAAAACTGTTTTTTCTTCTTCTCTGGTTTCTATAGTTTTCATTAATAAGTTGATCAGTATTTGTTTCTCATCAACAAAGTATACTGTTGTCCAGAGCCATCTTCAAGACTGTATGTGATTAGGATGCTTGTGAAGAAGTCTTCTTAGACAGAACTTCAAACTACAACTTCACACTCAGTTTCTTTCAGTTTTGGTCCATTTGGAAGACAAGCATTAAAATTCCTACATATCTAGAAAATAATAAATGGTTTATTAGCTATGACTATTTGAAACTGTTAAGTGTTTAATATCAATCTATATCTGTAAATATTAAATTATCTTATCTTACAAATGCACTAGTTATCAAATCCTATTCACTTACCAACTAATCAAGTAACAAATTTTATTTTTATAAAAAAGGAAATAAAAGAGATCACAATTTACCAAGTCATCTCTTATTGAAAACCTACAGTTTAGTTTACTGATAAAACTACATTTCCCCCAAATCAAGATCTCACAGTTTTCCCATACTACAGTAATATGTGACAAGATTGTAAACCATAAAAAACCTATTGTATATACAATACTCTAGTCTACATGTTATTCTTTTTAGCTTAATTAAATTGCTCAACATTGGTTCTATTATGCACTAAAGAATCCACCACTGAGAGAAATTTAATTATACAATATTACAAGCATGTAATTACTGAAGGAATGGTGTAATAACTTGTGACTTGAGTTGGAAAAGCCTTCCTGTAAGTAAGCTTATGAAAGAAAATTAATTACTCTAGAATGTTTTGCTTTCCTTGTTTAATGAGATTAATTCTTGAAACCAAAACTATGCATAAAAAAAAAGGTAGAAAATGATGTAATTAAGACCATACACACAAACATTGCACTGTCAACACCTTTAAGTTAAAGTTTAAAATAAGTTGTGTAGCCTTGTTAGGTTACAGGCAACATTGCACTGTCAACACCTTTAAGTTAAAGTTTAAAATAAGTTGTGTAGCCTTGTTAGGTTACATACATAAATATCTCCACAATAATGCAAGAAATGAAAAGGTGTTGTGACCAGATATACAGAAATCTCGAGTCAGAAAATGGCTTTTATAAAAATTTGATTTTTTTTATATGAATATGATTGTATATGAAGTGACCTGTTTATCCATCTGAAAAAAAGTTTTGAACATTAGTCAGTGAATTCTAAACAAACTTTTTTTTGAATAGGCAAGAGTAGTGGCATGATAGTATATGTGTGTATTTATCCTTTTACTATTGGAAATAAACAATCTTACAACACAAAACTTTTTTATTTTTCTTTACTCAGGCACTTAACATTTCACTTTAAAGCTTCTTCAGGTTTAATCAAAATTCATTATTTAAACCATCTGTAGCTTGTTCTGTAAGTTACAGTTTGTGTTTTAGTGGAACTCCCCTAAAGAAGCTGTAAAGCAAAATGTTGAATACCCAAGTAAAGAAAAATAATAAATTTGGTGTTATAAGTGTTTATTTCTTGTACTAAGATGTCTTCTATACACCAATACACTACATAATATATGTATCCTTACCAGATAATAGAAACCAACAAATGAACAAAGAAAGATCTAACTAAGACCTTGTGTCTAATGCATTACCTAAAACCAATATACAAGAACAAAGTCATGTGTAACTAGGCCTTAAAGTAATTTAATATGAAAACTAGAACCATGAATCATCTTCCACGTCAAACTAAATGTCATAATGACTGTTTGAAGTGATGCTTCTGCTGGAGTTAAATCACTGTAAGAGTAAAACTGTATTTTAATATATTTGTTACAGCAATAAAAGTGTTTCTAAAACTTTTAACTTTTCAATTGGTTTAATAAGATTTAGTTGAGGCCATTTTGAATGATGATCTTTGTTTAGAACAAAAAAATTAATTACAATCTCATGTTTATAAAAACGTCTTAATGGCAAATTTTAAAATTAAAAATTTGTCAATTGTGCACGATATCACTTACACAATAAACAACATTCTGTTGACATGTTCTTTTTACAGCAAATAAATGTTGTGCATCTATATGTGAACACACTATAGAATGCAAATAACAAATAATCAAACCAGCTTCAGCTACAAGATGTTTGTTTTTATTTACAATAATGTTCAAACTTCAATATGAACATTTTCCAAATTGTTTTTAAAGCAGTTTAAGTTTTCTTTCTTTGCACATCTATGGATTCTATATTCATAATCTTGAGTTTCACTAAAAATGTAATATTCACTATAAAGAAAGTATTTTCTGTATCTTAAAACAAGTCAAGATTGTGCAACAGTTCAACATACTAATACCCTCCCATTAAAAAGTATAAAGTGTTTATGTTCTAGTAAAATAAACTAGACGGACACTGTTTTAAGAAGATCAAACCTGTTTACTTGTATGTTAGCAGTGACTTGTAAAAAAGCAGAACGAAGTTGACAATAACAAGGTGGATGGTAAATATAGCTGGAGTTCACAAGTTGAGAATGAAAGCTGAAGATAATTGGATGCTCTAATGTAGAAATAATTAATAAAATAACTTGCTTTTGTCATTTAATGTTGGATAGAATTCACAGTAATGCAGAAACAACTATTCCCAAACCAAATTAATGTGGAAGCAATGAATGTGTTTAGCAAATCAGACATGGGATATCTAGTCTTTGTCATTATGCAGAATAATATGCTCATAGCATATGAGCAAAAGCATTTAAGTGACAGCAAAGGACTCAAGAACCATGTCCTGAAGAAAGAACAATAGAATCACATGAAATAAAACACAGGCAAAAAATGTTTGAAGAAAAAAAAAGTATTACTGATGAGTGGACAAATTTACTAGTAAAACCACAAAAGACTGGTTTGTCTGGGATGAATTTGATAAAGAAACTGACAAAATATTACTTTTTAGAGCAATCAAAAGTTCAATAATCAAACACTAAGAAAGACTTCGTGACACATTAACACCGACAGAGAAAATTTAATACACAAAGAAAAAAGATAAAAAAAAAGTTTATTAAGGTTAGGGCTGTACCATCATTAGTTCTAGCTGTGCATTCATACAGGGTGCCAACTGGCTGATTGACTAACAAGGTGAACTAATGGTTGCTAGCCTGCATCAGGGCAACCCTTGCCGATGGGACAAACAGTTTCATATTGCCTGTTGAATATGTGCCTGCAAACAGTTGGCTGCCCGAAAATCATGCGTGCATAGCCTCAGCTTGTTTACTAAGAATTCAGTGGTTGGTTATATTCAAAACTCAAACTGTTCTGAATGATAAACCAAATGTATGCATGATATTATTTTTCAAAAGTATACTTTGTAATGATTATAATAGTTTATATAATGTATTGTAAATATTTATAACAATAAAATTATTTTGGGGGGTTATGAGTTTATATGTCACACAGAGCATCATCAAACATTGGTATGGTCCTGATTAAGGTGCACAAATATTTTTGTTTGTTAAACACAAAGCTAACCAAAGGTACTGAAACACAGTTTTCAGAACTATGAGCTTCAGACTTACCACTGAGGGACAGTACACAAAGAATAAGACATAATGTAACCTTATTTTGTCACATCCTATAAAAAATATATAAAATTTAAACAAAAACAATTTAATATAACTTTTAATACATTGCACATTTGTCATTTAGTAGAATGAAAATGTAACTTAGTTTTTTTCCATTTCACAGACCCGGTATCCATCAATTAATATAACAGTACAATTACTGTATCATATTACCAAATCACAACCAGTCCTAAGATGCCAATGTCAGTAAGTTGAAAGTGGTCAGAAAGCAGTTATTCCAGGTTTGAGGTTAACATCTGTAGTCCAGTCCTTAATGAAAGAAAATACATAATATGTTAGCACAAAAATTTTATCTCGGGTCATTCTGGTTTGCTCTTGTGAAAAATAGTCACATATTCATTAATATCAGATACTTTTTGTTTTTAATGTTGAACACCATGCACCTTACATTTTTCAACTGGTTCTTACTCCTATTACAACTGTAAGTTATGCTCTTTGAAAACCATAAAAGTAATGATTAAGTAACCTCGTCGAGTTATCTATCTATATTTATAAATATATGTACACACACACACACACAAAGCACAGTTGTATGTCTTGTCCGGTGTCCTGACATCACAAATTATCTTGAGGAACTGGCTGAACCAGTTTGGATGAAATTTGGTAAATGAACTTAGGTGGACCTCCCAAAGACTGAGTTTTTGATAAACAAATTGACAAGTCATTTGAGTTTGTCAACCAACTTTTACAATGTAAGGCCAATGCCAAGTGAAAGTGGTGTTTACTCCCAACATAACATGGATATCTATGCCGACTGCCTGTATTCAGTAGATCGTGATGGTGGCTGGTAAACATGCATGCAGTCTCACCATCCCCATGAAGCCAATGAAATAAATTCTACTCTAAGCATAGATTATTTGCTAGAGGGGATAAATATAGTTATAAAATATTGACAATATATTTCGGCCTATACAAATTGATCTTAAAACTGGTTATCTGCTATGTAGGCAAATATCTGGAAGTACCTAGCAGAAAAAAAAACTTTTAAATTAATAAACAAATGTTTACTGCAACCTGTATGAATAATTACTTACTTTATTACACCACCTGATCAAACCTGGCAAAACAGAAATAAATAAACTACGTTGATCTCCCTGTATAAAACTTTGAGTGGTTTTCGGGATGACACCCTATGAATTCCTTTTATAGAAAAAACTATAATTTGCTTAAAATACTATCTATATATATATATATTACTATATTCAGAAGCTTCCACTATGTAAGAGATTAGTAAAATCCCAATATTATTACAAAATAAAAAATTAATTAATAACTGAATAAAACTGTCTGAAAACTCTAGCCTAGCAGTTAATGGTTAATACACAACCAGGACTCAGGACATACACACTTCATAATTATACAAAATCCTCAAAGAATTAATTTATCTACATGACATTAATCTATTACTTTAGGATTATTTGGCTTTAATGCACAATTAAGGTACATGATTTATACATATCTAAACTGAGCAATGAACAAACTAGGCTGCCAAGGGCTCAAAGAAAATATTTTTAAAATCTATGTTTTAAAAAAACCTCATATTCTTTTTAACCTCCTTGGATTCTTTTTTTGCTTCTGTGCAAGAATATGACAAAATATTTTTAGCTTACTAAGAATGGTAACAATGAAGCATCATCTATTCCACCTTTACCATTCATATTAACTTTTACAAACAATCAGAACTAAGAGCCCAAAGTTTGACCAGGTTATATATATATATAATAAATATCATTTGATCTTTCAAGTGATTTTTACCTATGCATAACTATTACAGATAATTGGTCATTAACACAAGTTTTTGTTTTGGCCACATAACAAGGATCAATGAAGTCAGAATGGAACAGTTATGACTGTCACTTTTTAAAACTAGAATTTCACTCATCTTACTATGATCAAGGTAAAATTCGTGACAATTCTAATTTTGCTTTGTGTAAGGAATATTAATTATGTTTGATCAGAAACCAAAATCCATCTGTATCTACCCAGCAACCTAGATTCTGTAACCAATAATGCAATTTCATTTTCACACCTCTCCAAAGTTAATTTAACAACTCTTATAAACCATATTCTACGACTCTAGAAAAATCATTACTGTTCTGCCAGTTATCTTACACCATGTGAGAAATTTTACCTTAGATCAAATTTGGAAAACTTGCAGTACAAGTTATTTGAGGACTCCTTTTAGTAGTGATGATTACCTTGAAAGTATAAACTTGTTCTGATTTTCACAACACACTGTTGGAAACCACTTCAATAAGCTCTGTCTCTGAAAATTAAAAATAACAATATTATTCTCTTGAAAATGCAGTAGTTGCAACAACACCAAATAATTGTTACTTTGACAAACAACATGAAATGCTAAAGTTTGTGGCAGAGTTCAGCAATTTCCCTTGCTGCAAAAAATACACAAAAGTGATTAGTCATATTGGTAATACTATATTTTATCAAGTGATTAGTCATATTGGTAATACTATATTTTATCAAGTGATTAGTCATATTGGTAATACTATATTTTATCAAGTGATTAGTCATAGATAAAATATAGTATTACCAATATGACTAATCACTTGATAAAATATAGTATTACCAATATGACTAATCACTTGATAAAATATAGTATTACCAATATGACTAATCACTTGATAAAATATAGTATTACCAATGATGACTGAATACAGAAAACTAGGAGCCAAACTTTCATGGAGCTGTAAAATATTTATTTTAACAGAACTATGTTTACTTTTTAAGCATAACACACATCTTTTGTACATGCATATTTTCGTTACGCTCATCCGCAGTTTAAATTTCAACTGAGCAACATTATTCATCATGTTTGTCTACATATTACGTTTGAACCTACTAAGATTTCTTATGTTCATTTAGGTATTAAATTTAAAGGGAAGATGATTCTGATATAATGTGTAAAGAATGTTATATAAAAACTAAAGATTTTTCAACCATGATTTCCAGGTATTTTACTACAACTGCATAGAATCTCTCATTTTGCTTGTTCCAATATATTGCATATAATCATGTTAACTTAGATGTAATTAGTACAGGGCAAGTGGGATTAATGTATATAAACAAGTTACTTAGAGATAATAAAGAAATCCATACTCATCTACAATTGTATGGTGCTAAAGGTTCCAACTACTGATCTTGTTTATTCAAAAGATATAATTGATATTATTCTTACCCTTAAAACTAAATAATTCATTAATATCAAAAGCTTAAAAAATAAATGGATAAAAATAAAGACCAAAACATGCATAACAGTAAAGGTATACCTAGATGAAATGAAATTCATTTCATGCATCATAGAACATGTAAGAAGAATAAAACATCTATTGATGAATACACTTCTTAAATAGTTTGAATTTACCTCTTACATTATATCATTTTGCTTCATTATGCTCACATAGATTTTTCTTTAATTTTCCCCACATCTCAACCGCTCCTCATCTTATATTGCCTGAATATTTTAATATGCAAACAGGTACTGTATAACGATGTTTTCTATTGAAAACTAGTTCAAACACTCAAAACTGTGGATTTGATATAATAGTGGATCATGAGACCCCCCCCAAATTGTCTTAAAGTAAGTAATCTTATTTAGACGTGAAAAAGTATTTGACATAACTGCTACTTCTCTAGACAAAAGTTAAACATCTGCCTCTTTATTTCTGTTGGTCACACAGACCTGAAATTAGTGTCAAAAAATTTTCATTTTTTCTGTGTATTTCAATGAGATACGATATGAATACTTCCTTGCTAGTTCTCCTTTAAAGTCTACAAGATAAACAGAGCAGAATTTTTCTAATCCTACGAATATAAAGGGCTATTTTCAGAATATGTGTTATTATCTATAATTCTTACAAAATTGACATTCTCACCAGATATGAAATCAGAATTAAGGACTCCTATTTATCAAGATATATATTTACATTACAATTCATTTTGTAATTCTGTAAATAATACTATCAATACAGGCCTTAGGTTTCTGTAATTTATTTTCTAGGGCCATACAAGTATTTCATAATTATAAATTTCAGTGAGTTGTGAAGAGTTGGATATTAAGTATCTCTTTTAATGGACATCTTTTTCTGTAGTTAGGTGTGCATTCTATTAGATAAGAAGAAGCATGGTTCTGATTTCTTTTTTTTCATATGGAGCATTGAATTTCAGATGCAAGATTCTGTTTATAAGAAACATAAGTTATGAACCTCCATCTTTACAGTCTTGATTCCGTTTACTAGAAACATAGGATATGAACCTCCATCTCTACAGTCCTGTTTCTGTTTACAAGAAACACAAGTTATGAACCTCCATCTCTACAGTTCTGATTCCGTTTACAAGAAACATGAGTTATGAACCTCCATCTCTACAGTCCTGTTTCTATTTACAAGAAACACAAGTTATGAACCCCCATCTCTACAGTCCTGTTTCCGTTTACAAGAAAGATAAGTTATGAACCTCCATTTCTACAATTCTGATTAACTGAATAAGGATTTTGAAACAAATGTTTAACAAATCTGGACACATTTGGATAACATTTTGTCACTTAACCATAAAACCATCACACTTAACTTTTTTTTTTTGATTCAGACCATCTGAAAACCAGTTTGTTCATTACAACAGTCATCACTTGTCTTGCTTTCTTTATTTCAATTTAGCCAATCTTTGATTTCTTGTTCGAATATTTATTTGTTCAATCAATTCCCAGACAAGTTATTATTCATTGATCAGTCACTAGATAATTAATTTTTTTGTTCATTTGTTGGTCTGGCCTGTTTATTTATTTAGTTACATTTTTATTTATTATTTACTTTTCATTCTTATATGTGTACTGATTATTATGTGATCAAAGTAAGCTATATACTTAAGAATGAAACTACAAACTAACCTGACAATAAGTACTGCTAGTTAAATATACATTTCTATTCGCAAAGAGTAGAATGTATTGTTTCATCAGCTGAATACTCTGACTGTTCATGATCTGTTCAGATGTCATCCTTATAATATCTCTAAGTTTGGCCAGTTTAGGTTATTTAGGTTAGTTCTAAATAAGTATATATTAAGCTAACAATAAAAGTAAAACAATAAATCAGAATAAAAAGTAATGACATTCGATACACTAATTAGTATAACCAACAATGTTAATGAAAGTAACAATAAATAAATAATATGGTATATCTTACTTAGGAGACAGAAACATTAGCTGTTGGCTTGAACTACTATCATAGAAGAAATGCTTATTTTTTCTCCAATTCTCCCTAGTTCGTAGTTGGACCAAAGAGCTACAAAATGGGCTGTCTCTGTTGTGTGTTATAAGCATTGGGGTGGGGGCTTAACCAAAGAAAAACTCAATAAGCCACATTACAGTCTAGTGTCAGAGGTTACATTGTATTCGACACGTTGCTGTTTAATCTGTGTTGAACTTTTAGCAGTAATTTTCCTATAGGACAATCTTAAAACTAATGTTTATGAAGTTACAAAATAATAAAGAATATTAAAATAATACCTAAACTGTCCATGAAAATGTAATAAAACAGAAAACAACATGCTAAACATAATATGCTGCATGACTAAACACTAACACTTTTACTATCACCCTATAACAAACACATAAGAGTTAGCTACAATTTTGCCAATACAATGGTCGTTGATGGGGTGTGGCAATGGTCCACACGTGTTATGTTCCTCCTCCTTTTTTTTTTTTGCTTTATTTATATAGCATATTCAAATAATCCATCTGGGAATTTTATCGCCTTGTGCTAGACATTTTTCGAATTTTTCTCGGTATTTCTGTTGTTTACCTAAAAACTCGTCGCAACAAGAAAATATTCATCAATTTTGCCAACAAGATTCACAGGAAATTGGATTTGTGCTGACAAATGGGATATGAGTGGGGAGCATCCCCTTCGCTACATCCATAACAGAAAGTAATATATGAATAAAATTAAATCTTGTAAACACGGCAAGCTGCTAGAAATTAGAAAGTTCAATAAAAATAATATTTAGAAAGGAAAGCTGCAACATTTGTTAATATGGTAAAAAATGTAATTATCGAAAATAAGTGTAACTAAACTGTGATTATATGAGTTTCATTTCCCAATTACCTTTTTTTTTAGTTCCTTTATTTATTAGCTGCATGTTTAACGTTTCTTTATCTATTCGTCCTTTCTGCGTTAACGTTAGAGCCAGTGAAAAAATCACATCATAATTAGGCTTAACAGCAAACTTTGATTATTAATCGCACGCAACGGCAAAACTACATAAGAGTTATACACGCATAGTTGTTCCTAATTTTGAACTGATAGACTTAAAGGAAGTCAGCCAGTCAACAGAACAGATCGTCAAACATTGTCTGTCCGAATAGTGGGATTTTATTGTCACTAACGGCACACCCAACACCCAAGTGCAGAGTGCAAACCATGAACACCTGGATTCACAGACAGGACACGCTAACCTCTGAACCACGATCCTCCCGCTATGGTACTTTTTGAAACGAATAAGTATGGCTAAAATCTTTCAAAACAATATACATTTATAACCTTCGTGATTTCGGAAGTATTTTGTAACACTTCTGTTGGTCATATTTATTATGTTTTAACCAATAAATTTATTTCGTTACAATAACTTGTACATATTCAGTGCTAAAGATGTTTGTACAATACAGTTTTCTACACTAGGCGAATTATATAAAGCCATCAAGCAAGGCATGCGCACAGCTCACGTCCTTGTATCCGTCACCCTGTCATGTCAAAGTTAGAACAACGGGGATAAATGTTTTAGATGACAGCGAGAGGAATCGGTACTAATACAACACCCCGACATCGCGACTTCTCCTTCAGCCACGTGATTAATGCTGCCGGTGACATTTACGACGTCAATAAATAACTATCCTCATCGTCGTTACAATAGAACGATAATATGGAAATTCTTCTTCTTGAGGCAGAGAAGAGATAACATAATTACAGTACAATAATGTTATAATTGATGATCTGACAAATAATTTCTACACAGATTTCCCATTATCTCAAGTCTTTTCAATAGAAGCTATTCGCTATTAAATCTTAGTTAGAAACGCAACCTTGTAAACGTGTGCATCCATTTATACAATACATTACTGAACTTGGAATATTCCCCAACTTCTGAATATGGAGTGTTACAAACATGTTTATCTTTCGAGTTCTTAAGCAATAAGTTAAATATCCGCGTTTAAAGCATTTTCTCATTAAATGCATGACCTCTGACATGCTTCAA